GCAGAGAGGTAATTCATATCGCTCTTTCTACTATTTTCTTTTCCTGCTCATCTATCCAAAATCCTCAGTTTATTTTAGATCGGACTAAATCTAGTGGAATATCCTCTTTATCGAATTGTCCAACTGCTGTACACTGCTCTTTCTTTAGCATCACTTCCAATACTGCTCCACGTGCAGACCAAATACATCGTTGGTTCGACGTTTCATCGGAGCATGAAAGTAACTTTTTTACAGTCAAAATCAAGCGGCAAATGGTTGTAGTGCGAAGGAGTTACTATCTCATATAGGGCATATTTCTTAACTCGGACAGCAACAAAGCTGTAGTGGTAGTTGTCAGCCTTACAGCCAAATGCTTAGTCGGATTCAACGGCACAAGTAAATTCGTTTCTCTGCCGCTTTTATACCAATATTTTGTACGTTCAGATCATTCTGTTACTGTACTACTCCTTAGCGCTGCTTTATTCAACGACATACAGTATTATCCAGGTGAAAATAATATATAAATGATTTAATGAACAATTTTTGACCAGAGTTAGAGAGAAAACCGTTTTGTTAGGAATAAAGACACAATCATATCTTGGAAAATTCAAAGTTCCTTGGTTGACACTAGGAGATCCGAAGCCGGCAACGGTATAACTGTTGCATTAATTTGAGACCTAATTTGATGGTGTTCTCTGTGAACAGAACTCAATTCAAATCTATCCAATTGCATCCTTGCTAGCTCTTCCTTTGCTGAAAATTCGCTCATCAAATGAGCAGCTACTTTTTTACTTTGTGCTGGAGCTAGGACTACTACATGCACATGACATCGACGCCTCTAATTGCCCAGTGTCTATAAACTCTTTTCTCGAATCCAAAATCTCGACAATCAGGTGGCTCGGACACGCTATTCAGCTGAGCGGCAACCACTAACCAGGAGCCGTTGGCGACTGGCTTCCTAGAAATATTGAACATGGCGCACTGAGACCACACACTCGATAGTCAGAGATGTTTAAGAAGAACTTATGAAAAGGTGTAATGCCTTCATAGTTTTTTCAAGTCACTAGAACACTCAGGACCACTCATGCTCATAATGGAGTAAATAGATAATTTTTGGAGCTCGCTTGAATCCTGAAAGAGCAAAAAACGCCAGGTAACACAGGTAGCCGCAAGAAGATGATGCACTACGTCGTAGCTGAGTCTTAGTTCAAGGCATAAACACCTCTGTCGTCGACATAATCACTGCCGTGCACACTCTTCTGCAGCAAACCTCTCTCTTCGACGAAATAAACTCGCCTAAAAACGGGTCTATTGCAAATTATTGAGTAGAGAACTGTGTTCATATTTCAGTGTTTGAGATAATGTTATTTCATACCTTTCGTTTCGAGTGTTTTCTTACACATATGTTATTTGTTTAATGAACCAGAGTATCCAAGGATGCTGAGTTTGAGCAAAGCCTTCGACTTCAGGCGAGGGTTCAACCCACCTCCAAGGTCAGCGCTCTGCGACCACCATTCTCCCTCGCTTATTTCTTCTATAAAAGTTATCCCAGTTGTCAACGGTGAACAAGAATTCAGCTCCTGCCTTGGGTTGAAAGCTCTGATTATCACTGATTATCACTCAGCTTCTTTTAATTTGTAATAATGACATAATGACATTGTTATGAGACTTGTGAGATAGAAAATTGATGTGGATTATATGAGCCAGAACACCCAGAAAGCACCATCCAGTATCGAATCACACATACCCATCTTCTTCCAGAAAAATGGCACTTCAATTTATGGCTGTTTCACGTTATTATCTTTCCAATTTATTAAGAAACTTGTCCTTCTTTTAGATTTATGCAGTGACTAGTTCATTTGTGAGTAAGCCATGCGATTACTCCCCACCTATCTATGTCTACATTCCACTCCATTTGGCACTGAAGGTGTCAACTTTTGGATTTGTAAGTTGTAAACACGCGCTAAAAACCTGTTTTATTGACTACTTAGCACGAAATACCGTTTCTCACAGCAAAATTTATTTCCCGTTGTGTATTACCAATGCAAGATTATAGATTCTCATCATATGGCAGTTACGACTTTGCAGCTAATGAACTTATGGCAGTGATGGATTTGACACGAGATATACGACCCCTAAAAAAAACGTTTGAAAACTTATTTGCTTTCGAGCTTATCTGCGACATTGATTGAAATGAGCGAAAAATTCCATGAGCACGTTAATGACACACTGAATGTTAGTGTGATGGAAGCACCAAAGACAAGCACACTAGAAAACATTGCAACTCACTCAAACAAAGCTATTGCTTTTAAAAGAAAATGCAACAGAATTTGCCTTTCCAATGCACTACTTCTGTCGATTTTACAGCTGCGAATGACATGCAAAAGTTTGATCCATTATCTATGCTTCGCAATTATAAAGATGATGGCACAATTTTTTAGAGAAAGTGAAGTAAATAATAGATTGGATAAATAGTATTTCATCAAGATGTACTGCCGCTGTAGAGTACAATAGAATTTTTATTTCTTCCTGAATAAATTTGTACCGAAGTGAACCAAAATCTTATGCTGTCTCAAACCAATATTTACAAATCAAGGCCTGAGCTCCTTCAAGCGCAGACGGCCTCAACAAGCAGTTAAATTCATGATGCTTACAATAGAAAACTAGTGCATTCTGACAACAGTGAAACGCTATACTATAGAAAAACTGGCATTTGTATGTTAAACGGCGACGACAAAGGACCCATCTCATTTGCTGGACAGGATTTTATAGGAGTATTAGGATTAATTTGAAACCTAAACCTCAGGCTGCAGCCTAAGGTGGCCGGTCTTTTGATAGACCCTTTTATAACTCTGTAAAATTCAGAACAAAATTATGTTTCACATCCGCCGTTCGCCATCAGTTATATCATGCGTATAATCTGCTAAAGCATGAAAAGCATATCACCGTGTAGAGGAACTTTTGTAGTATCTATGTCAATCGTTTTGATTGGAACTTCTTCAAAAGAGGAGAAGAGATTTGCAATTGAATAACAACATTTCAAACTCTATCAATCGCTCCGCCTCGGCCTCTTATGCCCTGCCCTGTGAAGCAACCGCTAAACTAGCTTGTCGAAAATGTAGAGCTCGAACTTATTTTTTCTGCTAACGATATCTCTAGAAAATAAGCACAGCGTTGGAATTATTGATACGTACGCTATCGAGTGATTACTAGTAGTCTTAAAAAAGAGCTCTGTGCGGCAAAATGTGAGATTTTTTTCCTTCTACACCACTATCAAAAAGCTTCTTCCAAGAGTAAACACATTTGTAAGTTCGTTCAGACTTGCACTATCGAACGGTTATTAACGCTCTAGAGAACGAGTTTTGTCCTGTGCAGTATAAACGAGACATAAGAGAAAAAACGCGTGGTCGTGTGAAACGTCATCCTATTCCGAATTTTACAGCGTTATAGAAGGGTGTTTTGAAAAATCAGATGGAGCTGTAGCCAGAGATTCAAGTTTTCTAATAATTACAAACACTCTTATGAATAACTCAAGTTTAGCAAATGAGATACGTTTTTCATTTGCCGCCATTCAGCATATAAGTTCCGAAAAACCCAATGAAGGCAGAAGAAAGTGATATATTATATAAGACGTTAAGATTCTCACTCTTACGGCCGTTTGTTGTGAGCGATGCGTGGCGACAATCCGTTTCACCAAGTATGAGAGCAACGGCATAGCATTAGATGTATTTCTTATTGCATTCGTGGTAAGTAAACTGAACAATTAGCGAATAATTCCGACCCAGAAGTAATTTGACCCTTTATTACATATATATATATATATATATATATATATATAGTATATATATATACATATGTATATATATATGTATTATATATGTGAATATGCTAAATTGCAGAAAAGTTCTGTCTTATTTTCAAAATACAAAGATAAATTTTATTTGTGCACTAATCAAGATCAAACAAAAGGCAAATTAATATTCGAAGTAGTCTCTTTCCATATCAAAACAACTCAGCCACATATCCAGACAGACAAGAGATGGAGAGCAGATTTAGGAGGGGAGAGGAAGTGGGAAGGGGGAAAGGGGTGGGGTTGACACCCAATTTGTTGTGGAAGTGCAACAGCAGAAAATTGCTTTGGTGGACAGTTCCATTCTGAAGGCTGTTTGGGCAAATAAAATAGAACTCGATGCGCAAGAAACGAGCTTTCTGATGAACTCGAATTTACACAAAATACATGTTCTTGTGCAACCTATCATATGTAATGGGGTGGTCCAAAAAATTATTGTTTTGTTCAGTTTTCCTCTATTTCAAATTGGTTTCCCGCCATAAGGCTGAGTTATATTTAAGAATGCTCAACCAGCATTAGCCGGAGCCATATAAAAGACAAGTGCCGCGAGATGACTGATTGAAAATCAAAATAAATCAGCTTACATCGGTTACGTTTTATTATGCTTTACATAAGTTGAAAAACCAGTGCAACGAAGACGGCCGAAAAGATGAACGCTTGTTTGGGCCAGACACCACTACCGATCAGACTGTGAGCCACTGATTCAAGCGTCTCGACAAAGCTATCAAACGACGATACGAGCTATCAAAAACCTCACTCTGACCTGCCTTTGAAGACTTTTGACGAAGACGCTCTGCCCTATGAGCTAGAAGTGCATCCGGATGCTATTTGCGGATTTAGAGCAGAAACTTATATATGGCAGCGACACCACCGCTCCCTGTCTAGAAAAAAAGTCAATCAAGTGTATCTCATAATTATTATATGAACAAACTTGTCATGTGGTTTAATAATGGGCTCTTTGTACAGTTCGATAGGCGTGTTACGACCTTGACAGTTTCGTCAATTGGGCAAAACCCTTTGTCTTTTTGGAGAACTTCTGCGGGTGCTCCAGCCTTCGCACTAAGAGTAGGCGACGAACGATTTACACTACACTGCCGTCAAATGCAAACAAGTTGACTCAGATAACAATTATGAGATATACCTAAGAGAAATAAGTGGTGAGCAAAAGCACGGCCTCAGGAGAGAATCGAACCCGTGTTGCATCCATACCGGGGACGCGTGCTACTATTACTACACCACCGAGGCAAATTTGCGCCACCACCCATTCTTCAACATCGCTATGCTAGCTATCAGCTACCAGCCTACCTATCTTATGCTCTGAAATTTTAGTACTTTTACTGCTTTTTCACAGTGTTTGATCTTACATATATGCCTAAGAGAAATGAGTGGTGAGCAAAAACTATTAGATTTAACAGTGGCTGTCAGCCTAACTGGGTTTATAAAGCGAAATCGCATACTCGACCAAACCTGCCAAAGGTTGGTGGCTGATAGCTAACATTGAGATGTTGAAGAATGAATGGTCAGGCAAATGTGCTTCGGCGGTGTAGTGGTAGTAGCACGCGTCCCCGCTATGGATGAAACGCAGGTTCGATTCCCGCCTGAGGCTGTGTTATTGCTCACCACTCAGTTCTCTTAGGTATGTAACATCGTAACACTGCGAAAAAACAGTGAAAATATCAGAATTTTGGAGAACCGTGAGATATACTGAAATTTGAACGTGGTCTCAAGAAAACGCTCTCAACGAGAGGGATAATATATTTCAAAATACCAGCCAAGAGCAATCGTGTGTACGAAACTGTCGATCTAGTGATTTTCGTTAACGGCACTGTAGTGTAAATCGTTTGCCGTCGCCCACTCTTAGTGTAGGGACTGATGCACCCCACAGATGATTGACAACAGGGCGAAGGGTTCTGCCCGACTGAACAGACTGCCAAGATCGAAACACGTGTAACGGGTTGTACAAGAGCCCTTTAACAGACCACATGACAAGTTGACTCAGATAACAATTATGAGATATTGAAATTTGAGCGTGTTCTTAAGAAAACACTCGAAACGAACGGCATAATAAATCAACTGGGCTACCGTAAAGTGATGCAGCGATGGACACCTCATGCATTCACCGACCGCGTTAGTGCTGCAAACGTGACCATCTGCAAAAGTCGATTCTTTTCTCTTCGACGAGAAAAAACGAACCCTTTCGCTGGGCAAGAGCTTTTCATGAGGAACTTCGCAGTCATTTGAAAGCTTGAGATCTCATGCGATTGCCTTACATACTTGTGCTATCGACCGGTCCTTTGCAGACCCGCCTCAAAACGAAATAATCTGACAAAGATATGACTTTTTTTGAGAGAATTATTTAGCCCGCAAGCTCGATTGCCGGTCACCACAACGCCAGGTAATACCATGAACCGACTTGGGGTGATTATTTATTACTCGGCATCAATACCTTTAAAGAATTATTTAGTCTTCGCAAACTCGATTGCTGGTAGCCACAACGTCAGGTAATACCGTCATCCGACTTTGGGTGTAATTTTTACTCGGCGTCGATTCCTTTAGAAGATTATTTAGCCTTAAGTGATCGACGGAACTGAGGGAGCGTGCTACTGATGAGTCCCAATAGGACGAATTAGGCGCCTATATAGCACTAGACCTATCCGCTCAAAACAAGTTATATCCTTACATACTTGTTTTTGAGTGACTTCTTTATAACTGTGCAACTATCAAAATCAAACCTGCAGGTAAATGTGCAACGCATGTGAAATTTGATCATGTTTTCACTGCTGCAGTGAAGTGAAACAGTCTTTACAGAAAATAAGCACGAGGTTGCAACTGTCGAAAATTGCGCTATCGAATGGTTACTCAGAATGCGAAGAAGGAGTGCCGTCGTATGAGAAATACGCGTGTGGAAAACACAAAGTTTTTTTTTTGCTGCAGAGCTATGGAAAAGTCTTTTAAAACGCAAATACATTTTGAAGTTTATGACACTCAAGCCACTGAACGTTTATTAACAGTCAAATGAAAAAGTTTTGTCCAACAAAATATGAGCGTGATAACGATAAAACGGAAGATGCGCGGTGTAACACAATTTTTTTGCATGCTACAGCACTGTAAAAGAAATTTTTCGAGGAATAAACGCGTTGCGCAGGAGCCTGAGATTAAAGCTTTCGATTGGTCGCTGATACTCTCATAAAATTTCTTTTCCAGTGGAAGGGACCACTTCGCTTCTTTCCTCTCGTCCAGCACAGAGAAAACCAAAGCGTTCTGCTGGTACAGCATAAGCAGGAGTTTCTCAGATCGGTCATACTTGAGATAAGGCCTTGCATCTTACGAAAACAGCACCTTATCAGCTGTTTTGCGACAAAGACTCGCTAGCTCAACGGTTGTCCCAATTTTATGTTTTGAAGAATATGCTCCGGCTTTCTGAGATTGGCAAGACATGTTGTATCGGATACTGCTCTATAGTAAGCAGACAATCAATGCCGATGACTGCATAAAATAACTCCGAAAGCTGGTCGCAGCAGCGTGAGAGAAACGTCCGAAAAGGCTCAGTGCCGCAGTATTTAGGATATCGCCAATCACATTTTGCAAGTCGATTCGCCACTATTTGGAGAAAAGTATGCTCGATTAAAGGACTACCCCACCTTATAGCCCTAATATTGTTCTATAAAAATATCATTTCTCCGCGCCCTGAAAAAGCATACACGGGAGAAAATTTAAAGACTACCAGCAACTCAAAAGTGACCTCGCTGACTTCATTGATCATCAGTTTCAATATTTCTGAAAGGAAGGCGCATCTGATCACCTCCTATAACGTGCAAGGATTTCAATCAATCATGAACCAGAATTGAACTTTTGCCTCAAAAAAGGGAAGAACAAGTCGTCTACGACGATGATGTTCCCAATAAAATCTTCTCCTCATACAACTGACAGAAAAAAGTAGACTCGACCAAAGACTACGAGTTACTCACCGATAGACTTTAAACATACCCCAAGCTAGCATCAATGCCCCAAACAGAAGATCAAATCGCATTTCCCTTACCACTAATGAGGTACTCAAAAAGAATGGGACTCAAGCTTGATTCCAGTGTAGCATACTCGTCTAAACTGGTAATAAACGCTATTTGCAGTTTTTGCGGCATGATTTAGTAGCAGATCTGGAAAAAAATTATTAGGAAAACGGAGCAAAAACCATCTAGCTTGAAGAAATATCGTCAGAATCGTTGCAACTATTACATTCCTCTATCTACAGTAATGAGCTAAGATGAGACCATCACTACATTCCATCTTAGATGGAAGTGATAACAAAGTTTTATACCAATCTTCCCGTTTAACAACTTTTCTTCCAGCACGAAATCCACTGAAATACCGCGCTAGATTCACCCACTATTAGGTTACGGAAACATAGAGACACATCGGCAAGATCCCGAATACACCAACGGCTTCCCTAGACCTCGAGACACAATCTACATCCGGTTCCCGCAATCATGACATCGCACTTTTATAAAGAAGAAAGCCCACACAAATGGAGGACTTTGTTTATCCTTGCTCACCACATTCAAGAACTCAACGATAATAAGATAAATCTTAGTGCGCAAGGCTCCAGATGGACAAAATGTAGCACAACTATAATTAACTTTTTAGGTGATCGGTAATCTTCAGCACATGTCATGTGTATTCTTTCGACGATTTCAATGTAAAATTATGGTTAATGCTTTCCGTTCCGCCTGGGGCGGTAGATCGCTACAATCGTTTATCTATATTGAATACTGTCATTGGAATGATCTGCATCAGTATACTTCATATCTCGTCATGAGTCAATAAAAAAAAGGAGTTCGATGCAAGTTTTTCTATCATTTTTAATCACACTCCCATAAAGAATAATAGTCTATATTGATCTAGCTTCTAACAACCGATCGCCCTGTCCTGTAACGAATGTCGTTAAACTTAAAGTCATTCTCTTTCGCTGTAGTTACTAAACTGCATCTGCCAAATTTATGAACATTTTCGCATGACAATATTTGTCGCTATAAATTCTTCTATTTATTCTTGCTCACCATCATCATTCCATTAATGAGGACGGACGAATTAGATTGTACATATGTTAGTCTAAAAATCTTATTCTTTACATCAAATAACGAGTAAACTTACCAAATTTTCTCCCCATTGAAAATCATAGCTATCGCCTTAGCCAAAATGACAAGAGTAATTTTAAGAAGCCTTGTTTGAAGAATGAGAGAAAAGAACATAGAAATGATGTGTTGCTGCGTGCTCATATCTATGTAAATAAGTGAAAATGTGGAGGTAACTGCTTTAAAAGATCGACTGATTAGAGCCTAAAGCGTTTTCATAGGTAACTTCTCGCACAACTAAAGCCACCATGTTTTCAGAAGCAATTTAACGCTGACGTCGCGCTTTCAGACTTGCGAGAACATCATCACAACACAGTTCGCAACCACATCGCCAGTTTTCAAGTGCAAGTCTTATCTTTTTTCAGCCTTCAGAGGATTTTTAAGAGTAAAAAAGTAGAAGTCTGCTCTTTAGTTTGTGTTCTTTCTCCGAAAATTTTTTACGAAATTAGCCAAATGTCGTCACTTCTTCAATAAATTTTCAAATCTCGAGCTAGTTGCCAACGTCTCCTCTGTGCTACCAATGCAGTAACCGCTGGGACCTTCTTTCTTGCACTTTTTTGTATTTCTTGGGTATTCTTGCGCAAGAGAATAAAGAGTGAAGTTATCGTATCAATCTATCTCATATGAATGCCATGCATTTGAAGCCATTAAGTATGGTAGAGTTGACCGTTCATAAAAGTGCTCTATACCGTATTTACTAGGATTTTGTGGGTTCACTATGTTGGCGGCTAGTCATATTTGCTGCTGCTCTGTTTCCTCTGGAAATTAAATAATAAAGTGTTTTAATCAATTCCTAAAGAATGGAAGTCTTTAGTTAACAATTTATTTGATCGATCTGCAGAGTTTTTTTTTTTTCGCTGTGCGGACCCCAGTGTATCTAGCATTCAGTTCGTTTTTTCATCTTCTTCTTGAACGTCGTGGAATACTGTTTGAGCGCTTCTCCTAGCAGTCTTGAAAGAGCCTGGCTGTGGACTTCCACGGGGTGTTTGATCCTGACTGGCGGAAGGTGTTGAGGGGTGGGGATTGGCTTCACGCCTCTTGACAAACATCATAACCATTCAGCCACGGCGCACTTCAAAGAATGGAACACCCTCTAATATTCTACAAACCTCGCTA